ACTGTGCTCCACTGCATGGTTACAGTGCACTGCACGGCTACACTGCATCGCACCGTGCTGCACTGTGCTGCCCTGCATGGCTACACCACACTGCACTGCTCAGCTGCACTGCACTGTGCTGCACAGCATGGCTACATGGCACTGCACTGCATGGCATGGCTACGTGGCACTGCACTGCATGGCACAGCTGCACTGCATCGCACCGCACTGCACGGCATGGGTACACCACACTGCAGTGGGGTGCATCACACTGCACTGAACTGCACCGCTCTGCCCTGTGCCACGCCACGCTGTGTTACACTGCATGGCACTGCTTGGCACGGCATTAAAACCGCATCACCCCCCAGTGAAAGTGCCCTGCAGCACGTGGCACTGCCCGGCTGCAGGCTGCACTGCACAGCACTGCATGGCATGGCACTGCATGGTGCTGCACTGCATGGCGTGGCATGGTACTGCATGGCATGGCACTGCACTGGGTCGTATATGGCATGGCCCGGCACTGCACAGCACTGCATGGCACTGCACAGGGTGACACATGGCATGGCCTGGCACTGCAGGGCACTGCATGGAGCCTTACATGGTACTGCAGGGCACTGCATGGCACTGCACAGAGTCACACATGGCACTGCACAGAGTGACACAGGGTATGGCCTGGCACTGCACAGCACTGCATGGAGTCATGCACAGCACTGCACAGCACTGCATGGCACTGCACAGGGTGACACATGGCATGGCCTGGCACTGCAGGGCACTGCATGGAGCCTTACATGGTACTGCAGGGCACTGCATGGCACTGCACAGAGTCACACATGGCACTGCACAGAGTGACACAGGGTATGGCCTGGCACTGCACAGCACTGCATGGAGTCATGCACAGCACTGCACAGCACTGCATGGCACTGCACAGAGTGACACACGGCCCGGCCTGGCACTGCATGGCACTCATGGAGCCATACCTGGCACTGCACTGCATGCCCTGGCACTGCACGTCACAGCCTGGCAGTGCCCCCACAGCCCCACAGCCCCCCGCGGGGCCCATATCCGTGGGTGGGCAGACCCCGCCCCGTGGGTGTTCCCCCCCCTCCACCCTCCCGTGGTCCCCCTG